TGTGCGTGTATGCGTGTGTGTGTGTGCCAGTCCTAGTTGTATGTCCAGGTGATCTTCAGGCCGCAGGGATACTAATCCCGACGTGCATGTGGTGTGTGTTTGTGTGTGTGTGTGTGCGTGCGTGTGTTGTGTGTGTTTGTGTGTGTGCGTGTGTACGTGATGTGTGCGTGTGTTGTGTGTGAAGGCGTGACAAGCGAGCGTGTTCACCACAAGGCTATGGTAAACCACGCCCACCGTTTTTGACAGTTTGAATGTAAATATACTTTGACATTTTGAAGTGAACCTAATGTTGTTGTTGTTGTTTTCTAATTCATATACACTAGCTGCACGTGCATGTAGGGACTTTAACATGAGGAAACTAAATGCAATAAGAGTACTGTTTTGACAGATGTAACAACACCGGCAATTTGTACTGTCTAAATATAAAGTGTGTTAATGCCTGTACAGTATAATCAAATATAAGTGTACAAAGGAAATCTAGCAGCGAGACAATTTGTTGATGATGTGAGTTATCTGGGTTATGACGTCATGTGCAGACAGGCCAATGATGAAGGAAGCAATTACCAACCCCACGTATATCGTCTCCTTCACGCCTCATTCTCGTCTGCACCAAACCAGCCCCACCTTCATTCACGAGAACAGCCAACACTCCCTACCCGCGTATGCGACCACGCCCATCCGGGTACGCCGCCAAAGAACCCCCCCAACCACCCACGTATGCCACCACGCCGACCATCTATCCCCCTACAACCAGCCAACCCCACCCATGCATGCCACCACGCCCATCCACCCGTCATCCCCGCCTACAGCCTCCCCACCCACGCATGCCACCTCGCCCACCATTTATACCCGCCTACAGCCAACCAACCCCACCCACATATTCCACCATGCCCATCATTCATCTCCACCTTCAGCTAAACACACCAACCCACGCATGCCACCTCGCCCACCATTCATTCCCGCCTACAGCCAACCAACCCCACCCACATATTCCACTACGCCCATCATTTATCTCCATCTACAACCAAACACGCCCACCCACGTATGTCACCACGCCCACCCATGGTCATAAGACAAATGCCATAACTATTAAATTCTCGATGCTTGGTTTCGAACTGTGTTTACATTCTCCAAGTAGAAATTGAGTGTGTATGCGTGAGGTTTATCCCTGCCAAGGTTCAGATAACTTCAGTTTAAACTCTTTTTCTTCCGTGTTGGAGGTCTGATATACAGGTACCCCAATCATCGAAAATGGTATGAATGATGAGGTGATGCAGGTCTTAAACGTCCACCGCTTCAGCGAAACCCACGAGCACGGGTATTGTGCTGACAACTGGTACAACATACCCATTTTATTTTAAAACCAGTGCATTATAATGATATGATAATTTTAGCAAAACTGTGGTAATGTTGTATATTCAAGGAATTTGTAGATATGATAACAGATCTTGGAAAATATTTCTGGATAACTGTTGGTAAAGATTATTAAGAATTGTTCCTTGTACCAAATTCTTTATCATGATTGAAGAATATTTTTGATTCCCTTTCTTGGTTGTATTTTTGTATGTTGAGAGACGTTGTGGGGTTGGTCTTTTGGTATATCTATCTGTTTAAACAATTAGTTTGTGATTACTTAAACGACGTTTTTTAGAAATATGACCTATGAGCTTTGTTTTTACAATATGTAAGATAATTCTCAATATTTAAAGATGACTTGATCAACCGTTATGTTCTTAACTTGATGTTGGATAAATTGGAATCCCTTAATGCATGCCTGAACATATTTTTACATTTGGACTGAAGTTTATTTACAGTGTATTCATTACATTTATTTGTGTTTACTATTTCAAAAGTTTGTTTTATTTAACCCAGCCAACATTTTGACCAGAAAGATTGATATTTGCTGCCAAAGCATGTATAAGAATGTCATTTGTTATGCTATCTATATAGGACTTGTAAGCAATTATTCTTTATATTATTGGTACAAATAGTGGGTATATACCAAGTTCTGCCTGCCAGGCCCAGTTATGTGTTTTCTTGCCATGGGTTTCCTTGTGCTGACCATTTAAGACACAGTTTCTTTTATTGTGCTTTCCAAAGATAACTGCATTAATAACTACCTATTTGTACTTTAGACTAATCCTCTCCAAATGCTTACACTTCCTTCCTCTGCATATGACATAATATGGCGGAGAACAACTGATCGACTGCAACAATCTCGACGTGAGCAGAGTATGGAAAGTGGACAATCAGGTTACTAGACAAGTATTTTACAAAAACAACCTTTTGCCTTTTTTCCTTTTCACTCGTCAAGGTTATCTTTTTAAAACTTACCAGGTGTGTCATATTCGTAGAGTGAAACCGGCAAATATAAATAAATCATATTTCAACGAGCTCTACGTGCCATTCAATTATTAGTGCTTCCAGATCATCCTGGAGACTGAGTGTAGCTATATCGCCACGACAATTGCTAGATTTCAACACTTTTTTACAGCACCATGTGACCGACAGCATGTGTGTTTATCAAACGGCTAAGACGTTAATATTTAACAAAGATAAGTGACGCAGTGCATAATTAACCACTGACTTTTGATAGAAATATATGCAATGGTGTCTTGTTTCTGAATCAACGGATGGTTTTACTTCCAAACATGACTTTGGCCATTCAAGGCCTCAGTAGAGCTTTCAGCAAGTTTTATGGTAGACATGTGGAGGACATTTCCAAATTTGACGCTTCAGTGACAAAAATGATGTCAGGTGCAATTCCTTATTTTGACTTGCACCACATGTTCCAGCGCTTTTTCAGGTGATCAATTGACTTGCCGTTGCATGTGTTTGTGGGGGGCAGGATACGCTCAGCTTTTCGCGAACACCTGGTATCATCACGTTTTGATAGTAATGTATAAACACGTGCTCATGGTATAGTCGGAATGGTACCATCGACTCTGCTATATGCTGAGATTTCTATTGGATACGGAAAGGGTTTTGTCGATTTATTTATTTGATGAGTGAGATACCATGATTACTTCTAAAATATAAAAGTAATTTGAGTATTGTGTCATTAGTATTGTGCCTCGAACTAACATATGTCATTATGCTTGCATTCCAGGCACATGACTTAAATTATTAATCATCCCGTTTCTTCTCAATCGCGGAATATCGCGGACTTCACAGTAACGAAGGCAAGGCTTGAAACAACTTTGTGTCAGATACATTATCATTTTTCATATTAATACACAAACGTTCACTCTGAGTGTACATAAGGTTAGAAATTAAAAGATATTTCGTAGGTGCCAGGGCAATGATACCATTGCTACATTCTCATGAAATCAAATTTACTTATCAAGAACATTATCATAAAGGTTTTAGATTGATATTCATTAAGTCAACACTTCGAGCCTAGTGGTTAAAGCCTTCGCTCGTCACCAGTCAAATGTTCATTCACAATATCCAAATCAGTTCGCCTGTCATGTGTGATACCCACACCATGACACTACCGCCCCATTCAGAACATGGTCACCAATTGTTGCCCTGGCATACCGCTCGCCTCTACGTCGCCAACAATGTTTTCTGCCATCTGTGAATCAGAGACGAAACACTGATTCGTCTGTAAACATGGTGTATCGCCATTTGCGCACAGCCCGTCCCTGCCAAGCCCACCATATCTTTGCCGCGTATGGGTAAAACCCTTGACAGTACGCCTTGCTTTCAGGCGGGTTGCATGAAGCTGGGTTTTAACAGTAGTTGTTGAATTTCGCCTTCTTGTCATCATCTTCCCGAGGCAAGGAAGTTAACTGGCTTTTAAAGTCCAGCCTGGAATTTTCAGGCTTGATCGTATCGCCACCAGTGTTATGTCCCTTGTACGTCTCCCCTATGGACCAAACAGATTCCATCTCTCGTATCGCTTGCATTTGCTCCAAACAAGATGGCGGCGCCCAGTAAAGACGATCTGATCGATAATCAAGATCTATATTGTCATAAAACGCCCACTTGACGGTACACATGCTTTGCAAATCCTGCAGTCGACCGCAATCTGCTCATTGAAATCCATGTTGTTTACGAACCGGATGTCTAGTTCGTTAAGCGATTTTGATTGGACTGTGCATAGACTCGTTAGTCCAGCCAAAATGTAATTCCGGAATTCCAGCCTAGTTAGGCAAGGGTGGAAACTGGACTGTTATATGGACTGTCATTGTACGCCAATCTCTTTTGATAATGGGAGCAGATTTGAATCTATTGCGTAGTGCAGTATTTGTCGTATTTTAGGTCTGCCTTTGGCCACGTCCTGGTGTCATTGCACGTTTTCCACAGGTCTCACGGTACTTGTCCAACAGTCGACAAATTACACTTTTTGATTTGCCAAACTATCGGGCAACTTGGGATGTTGACGTCTCCCCTCTCCACTTACGCACCAACAATCGCCATTTTGTCTGTTCATTGAGAAACTGTCTCTGTGGCTTTTCTAAGCGTGTGCTTACCTCATGCATAAGTAATTGTGAATTCCCCTATGGGCGCACACACTTTGGCTTCTGTATGCATGTGCACCACATGCTTCTCAATTATGGCTTGATATTTCATTGTGATCAGATGTTGCGTTCAGATGCAACATCACATATACTTTAATACGAAACACCGACATTGGGCGGATATGGGAACCAAAACTTCGATCAGTGTGTCCTGGATATGCCAAGGGATGCAAGAGTGCACAGCAATTTTAGCATCTAAAGGTGTGAGTGAGTATGGTTTTACGCACCTTTTTAGCACTATTCCAGCAATACCACACCAGAAATCGGCTTCACAAATGAACCAATGTCAGGAAACGAACCCGGGTCTTCGGCCTGACGATCGAACCCTTCTCGGCCGCCCTGGAGCCTGTAAGACAAGCCATGTCATACCTACACTTTACATACTTGTACACTAGATTCATCTTGTAATACTATTTGACATTTATTTCACTCCCTGGTTTTAGTGGTTGAAGAATTGTAGTATTCCTTCCACAGTGAGCTGCAGCAGAGGGCCCAGGACTTCTTCGACGATCACGACGGTATCCTTGATGACGTCTTCCGGTTAGGGCTGTTTTCCTTTCTCGCCGTCCCTGTTACGACCTGGCTGTGGCGTCAGTACTACCAGCATGCCAAGGACCCCCGCAGCAAACTGCCCCTCCCCCCAGGGTCTATGGGCTTTCCTTTGGTGGGCGAAACATTGTCCATCATAGCTAAAGTAAGTCATCCTTTGTGAGGATAAAAAATTATGTAGTTCCATGTTAATGCGTTAAAAGATTTACTCAAGGTCAAATAGGATTTTATGACGTACGATATTTCGTTCAATGTCGTAGGTATGTAGCAGACAAAATGTTGATGCGACATAATTCTGAGTTGACGCGATAAAAGATTTAATCTTTAATTTCAAGTACTACACAAGCAGGTCATGTTGACATGTACGATATCTTACTCAAGGTCGCACATATGCTAGGTAACGTATTAACTCATTCACTCTTACTCCATGAAAATATCCCATCCCATCACGCTGCTCCGATTATCGTTTCCACTTGCGAGAGTAAGAACCAATCCCCACTTATTTTTATCAGACACCTTACATATCAACCTATGTCAGTCCCTCTGTAATGGGTTCATTCTGCGACCAGGATATCTCTCTGATCCCTGCCGTTGCGTAAGCGAGAATTCAAAAGTACACATTTGCTCCAAGTCCTACACATAATGTTTACTTGTTGGATTAGTTTTATGATGGAGATAAACCTTGCTATTAATCGTGCAAGTAACTAATGATGTCCATGTATCAATCAAAGAACTTTACCAGACCAAAAGGACACGCCAAGAATGCAGTCCTTGACTCCTTCTTGGAAATGAGCTTATCCTCATCCGTGTCATTCTGCTTGAAAGAAGAACTGGGCTCGAGCCATTCGGCTGTCATTATTTTTTTTTATTCGATTTATTCAAAACTCACTTTGATTGTCTGCTGACTCATATTTCCCCAGTCACAGCATGTAGAACTAGACTGGCAATTGTTGCCAGAATGTGGTGTCTTTTTAGTGGGAGCATGGGTGTATGTCGCCACAAATCCCCTTCGCCCAGGCTACTGGTTTTAAAGATTGCGTTGTGTCCTGACTAAGGAGGTTTAACTGTACTAACAAAGACAACTGTCTCCCCTTCAGGGTTCTGACTTCTTCCTGTCTCGGAGGGAACAGTACGGCCACGTATACAAGACTCACCTACTGGGACAGGCTACCATCAGAATCATCGGGGCTGATAATGTACGCCATATTTTGATGGGGGAACACATCACTGTTGAGAGCAGCTGGCCTAAATCACTCAAGCGTCTGATGGGGCCTGGTGGACTACTGAACGCAACTCCTGACAGTCACAGGATCAGGAAGAAGCTACTCCTCCAGGCTTTAGCTCCTGCAGCAATACAAGGGCATGTTCCAAGAATTCAAAAACTTGTCAGAAGCCATATTTTAGACTGGTGCAACAAGGGGGAACAACTCGGAACTGATATTTGCAAAAGTTTGGCGATGTCAGTTGCTGCCAACATCCTTATTGGATTTGATGTCGATGATCAGAACCTCCAGTCAATAATTAGTTCTTTCCAGACTTTCAGTGGCAACTTGTTCTCATTGCCATGGGAACTACCCCGATCAGGACTGTCCAAGGTGTGTATTTATTTCTTACTGAGCAAACCAGGTGTATGACAGATATTTTTACATAAAATCAATTTAACAAATGCATGCCATCGCTTCATTGATGGTCTTTCATGATATTATGTGAATGCGTGAGGTTATGTTTATATGTTGCAATAAGCAATATTCCAGATTTATCATGGCGGCGTGAAAGTAATTGAGTTTTTCCACGACAAATCTGGTCCAATGTGATCTGTACCATATCTAATACACACACATTGCTGCTTTTGCATCATTCAAAACCTTCTTTTTTCAATGAAGTGGATTGTTACCTGTTTCTATTGATGTATGCAACATTCAAACCCTTTTGTTTTTTTAAAGAAAGCTGTTTCTTTCGATGTAGGGTCTAAAAGCACGAGAACAGCTCATAAAGGAAATTAAGAAAAGACTGCAGTGTGAGACACAACACTGGTCCCTTGTTGATGAACTGAAGAATCTTGATGAAACGGCTGCCACACTCACAGCAGACGAATTGGCAGACGCCATCTTGGAATTATGGTTTGCAGGGAACGACACCAGTTCCAGCACGTCAAATTCAACACTACTGGCTTTAGGTAAAGATGATGGTTTCCGAAAACGAATCGAAGAAGAACTGGCCGAGAACGGACTGTTGAATTCTGAAGATGAGCTGACGTTTGACAGTTTAAAGAAGCTGACCTACGTAGATCACGTGGTGAAGGAGGTGCTCAGAGTGTATCCGCCTGTTGGTGGTGCCTTCAGGAGAGTCAAGAAAACAATGGAGATTGAGGTAAATGGAAAATATTAAGACACCATCACTTGTTCTTTGTCACGTAAAAGTCGATGGAAACTACTCATTATCGTTTTCGATAAGTTAAACGTAGGAAGGATTAACAAAGGTTTTGGACGATTTCAACAACAGACAAGGAAGGTGTGGTTCCTTCAAGACCGAGGTTCATCCTGGTCAAATCTGGTTTTCATAGCAACAATTGCACCCTGGCATGGCTAAGATCAACATTTAAGTAGTTATTCTGGTCAACCATTAACCCTAGCTGCGATGTTTGATCAGAAGTGTCTACATTTTGTTTGCAGAGGCATCTAAAACGGAGACCACAATCCTAATAGAATGGGCACATCTACAACCTTAAACAACATAAAAAGAGGGACTATGTTATAATTATTATGTTTAAAACGGTAAGATTGATGCATGGCAAGTACTGCCAATTGAGTCCCATCTTTAAATCGTGTTTTCACAAAGGATATGCTCCTCAGCAAAGTTGCATCCCTTAAACTTTGGGTAATAATTCTGGTTCTCCCTGTTTGGTTCCTCTAGGCTTTCCAGCACCCTACCTGTAAGCTGGTTGGCTTTCGTTCCACATATAGCTGACACGTGTAGTATAAGAGAAATAATTTTCAAACTCACGCCTACATTTTTGTTGATTTCCATCCTCAGGGCTTCCAGATTCCAGAGGGATGGTCTGTGATCTACAGTATCCGGGACACGCATCAAACCACCAAACTCTTTGAAGACAGGGAGGAATTCCAACCGGATCGCTGGAATGACATGGACAAGGAGACCCGTGAGCAACGGTTCCACTACATTCCTTTTGGAGCAGGTGCCCGAGCATGTCCTGGTGAAAAGTTTGCCAGAATGTTTGTAAAAATCTTCATTGTGGAACTGATAAAGACATGCACATGGGAACTAAAGAACAAAAACCCTAAGATTTCCTATTTTCCAGTAACAAAGCCTTCAGATAATCTCCCTGTGACCTTTCACCTTCGTCAGGATTTTGACAAGGCCGTGTAGGAAAAAGGGTAGATAGACAAACTGTGGTGATTTTATTGCTGTAATGACAATTACAATCAAAACTGTACAAGGGGCTTTTCAATCTAGGGGACCTCCAGGTGGTAGAGACAAGTCAACCTGAGTTCCAGGTGATGTTTTAAGATACGTTTAAGCCATCGGTTGGCTACCTTTAACACAGTATACAAAAGAAAAGATGGGCAACGAAGATGAGTAGTCAAATTGAGGTCACGGAATTTTGACAAGTCTATTTTCCCAATTTAAAAAATAATCATATATTACCTCATATTACAGCACATGCACATGAGACACTTCATCCATTTCATCAAACCACATTTGTTTGACCCCTTGATGATATTCAGAAGTTCATTCATGTATTGACAGTCTATTTAGTTATGACTGATGTTTATGTTTAGTGCTATCTGTTTGTGCCATACTTGCCAACTTGTTGATATTGTTTGATAAGAGCTCTCTTTTATGATTATGATGCCACATTGTAAGTGCTATTTACCTGTGCCATAGGACTTTAGTCCCACATACCACTATGCATTAACATTCAGTGCACTGAGTCCCATCAACCATCCTAATTCAGACACATTAACTCAATCCCAAGTCAAATGCAAAGTAGAAATTTAAAAATACATCTCATCGATTTGTCCTGTGTCATTGAGAGAGGGAGTGAGGGCAAACTCGATTGCGGAAGTAGAGATATACCACTTCCCATCACATATGTGTATACAGCAGTTTAGTGGATGTCTTTAAGGAGTTAACACACACATACTACGGGGTTGAGGTCTTTATTGCAGATGCCAAAGATCAAGGATCTTAAGAGTGAGTGAGTGAGTGAGTATAGTTTTACGCCGCTTTTAGCAATATTCCAGCAATATCACGGCGGGGGACACCAGAAATGGGCTTCACACATTGTACCCATGTCGGGAATCGAACACGGGTCTTCGGCGTCAAGGATCTAAGATATTAAGCACCCTGAAACACATAATTACATAATAAATTATAGGTAAAACATTATCATCATTTCTAGATACATAGCATAGGCTTATTACAAGTAAGTAATACATGTATCAGTCATCCATTAGACCACTGGATAGACTGGACGCTAATCAATTACAATAGAACATATGCAGAAATATACATGCAACACGATACCGACAACCAAGGGAGATAACTCCTTGACTTTCATTTGACTATAATATATACACACTATAAATACATATCGCTTACACATTCTGTATAAACATATACAATTCTTTAAAACAGAAATTAATGATATTATGATATTACATTAAATGTGGTCATCACTTTCATATACTTAACAAACTGTTTTCTTTTGACCATGTTGATTTTTCAGGAAAGGTTTTCAATCCTATCACTAACACACTATATATAAATGTAAAACTTCATCTATTCAGGATGGCATGTGATAGCCTGATTGAAATAAAGTTTTGAAATTATAATTATTTAGTTGTCGGTTTAATATTAGTGATTTAGTTAATGTATGGTGCTTGCTTACAGTCCTAATTTCAGATCTTGTACGTCTACAACTTGATCTTAAAGTTGTGTGATTGTAGGGCCAGAGCAGTCTCCCCTTTATGATAGGTTTTTAGTTGTTCCCATTGGCAAGGCCTACAGCCTGCCGCCAGCCCCATCCATGTAAGCCACCACACCCACTTCTCATCCCCGCATACAGCCTACAACCAGCCCCACCCGTGTAAGCCACCAAACCCACTTCTCATCCCCGCATACAGCCTACACCGCGTCACCGCGCTTATAGCTACAGCCAGCCCCACTCCCAAGCACACCACACGCCAAAACGTCGTCCCGCCTATAGCCACAGCCAGCCAGTCCCACAACCAAGTATAGCACCCGCCCACCCGTCACCCCGTCACCCCGTCACCCCGCTTATAGTCACAGTCAGCCCCACTTTGAAGTACACCACACGCCAATACGTCAACTCGCTTATAGCCACAGACAGTCCCACACCCAAGTCTACCACACGCCAAAGAATCACCCCGCCCAGAGCCACAGCCATCCCTTCAACAAAGTATCCCTCATGCCCACCCGTCACCCTGCCTACGTCCACACCGCACCCTGTTCCTTTCAATACAAGACAGGAAGTCAGCTGCAGCCCGGCCCTGTTGTACCAGTATCCATATTTAGTTCACAACATATATGCATTTTAATATGAATATTCCGGTGCGATGTTGTTGATGTAAACAACGTTCAGTTGGCTACAAACACATATTTTGTGTCTTTATCGCTGGTGGGTGAATGTAACCGAAAGTAGAACGTGACAAACTAGATAACCCCAGACTGACACATACAGACAACCATGTACTTGATGTCCCCTAATCACATACCTATCTGTATTTAAAGGCGGACTTCGTTTTGCAAATTTGCAGTACAAGCAGCTTTGATTCAAGATATTCAAACACCACTTTGGTGATCTGCTAAAAACATATTTATAGTGTATATCAGTCTGACAGATAATTACAATCTAGAGACAATGTCCCAGTCCACACAGCACTAAATAAAAAGTCTAATCCCAAATATGGGCTCCTGGAATTCGAGCCTATCCCTCTTTTTTTCTCATATAGATTTCCTTTGAAATATTCAGGGTTTTCAATCCCTTTCAGCTACTCAACATGCTTTCTGTTGGATACACACATCACTTGCTTGCCCTCAGAGTCGAACTGATGACAAACGATTAAAAATTGTGGACAAAAATCGGAACCAGGTGCGCAGTTTGTTATTGTGGCCTACATTTCAACTGTTCACGAAGAATGATGCTGAACTTTTGTTGAACCACTGAGTTCAGTTACGGACAATGACGTATTAGTTCTCGATGCTTTCATTGGCTCCCAGCCGTTATATATATTATACATCTACAGCTAGTGATTATTACACCACCTTCCTTTCACGATGGCAACTGTACAGTACCTTGTGCACAACAAGGCTCTTAGCCAGTTACTGATTTCCGATAAAAGTTGGAATGTCATTGGTGCACTCCAAAGAGTCAAAAACACGAGGTAAGTGTCTCTAGGTGTCTAAAAACATATACTTACTATATTAGGACTAATTAGTGTGTCATGTGCTGTCTATCATGTATCAATGGTTCATTGCATGGCATGCGCTTTAACGAACAATTTGACATTAAGTGGTGCTTGGATCAACAGTGCTATGTGTTGTTAGCGTGTTTGGGTTACAGCTAAAATAGCTTATAGAGGCCAGTAAGTAGATAGAGACAGCTAACAGACGTGTGATTGGTAGCCATTACTGCATTCAACTACAACAACAGAGTTACATGACAAACTGGAATTCACAACCTTTGATTTCAAAGAGATGAAGTCCGATCTTCATCCAGGGAGCATCACCATCCGTGTGCTATTTCAGAAGTGGTTTGGTAGTACGAGCTGCCATTTTCTGACAGGCTTCACAACTTTGAGCCATTTATTTCCGTTCATGGGTCATTCCGGGCTAGTACAGAGTTCCTCTCACACGCCGAATCATTGCATCATTTCCACTGTGCAACTTGTGAAGTTTGTGTTTGATGTCAGGACATAACTTCTTAGGGATGACAATTGCCTCTCCCTTAACAATGACATCATCAATCACACTGATGGTGTCTCTCACATCAAAATATGGTGTACACACTTCTGATATTTGGTCCTTAGTATTCGGCCAGGCAGATGTGATGACTTTGATCAGTATTTGCAGATTTTCATCCTCAGCAGTTGCCCGGCGTATTTCATCAAGCCTGGAATGTCGTCATTCACTTTGATGTTCATGATTCTTGGTCGCTGCTCGTCATCAGTGAGAAACGCTCTACTCACAGTATCAGCGATCACAAGTGATGTACCTTTCTTGTAACTGAAGTCAACATCGTAGCGATGTAGTTTCATCATGATGTCCTGGAGTCTACGAGGAGCATGACTGACAGTTTTTTTGTAGAATTATTTCTAGTGATCATTCTCGATGATTACATTGCGGACACGTGTACTGGTCAAAGCAGACAACATCATACAGAGTTGCCAGTGCCTCTTTGTCCATCTGAGCCCATTTTTTCAGAAGCAGTCAGAGCACGAAATGCATATTCTATAGGCTCTCCATCCTGGAGCATTACAGCACCGATACCATCCTTGCTGCTGTCGACCTGGATAACAAGTTCATTGTTAGGGTCACAATATGCCAGGACTGGAGTGTTTGTGAGAGCAATTTTCACCTGTTGAAAAGTACTTTCATGTTCACATGTCCATCTGAAATCCGCATCCTTTCGAGTAAGTGCTCACAAAGGTTCCATCATAGTAGAGAGCGATGGAAGAAGTCTTGACATGTACGGGACCATGCCGCAGAATCTTCGAACACAAGCTGCATCCGTAGGACTAGGCATCTTCATGATCGCCTCGACATTAGACTGGTCAGCTTGTATGCCATCAGCAGTGATTGTTTGCGTATGAAATGAGAATTCCCTCAGGCCAGTTACAGCTATAGCTTTATTCAAGATGATATGTCTCTCACGACATCTCTGGTACAGGGATTCAAGTTTCCTTTCATTATCTTTCTGGGCTTTGTTATCAGTTGTTCCCTGACCAGCAACAATGATGTCATCGGCTATAGGAAATGTTCCATCAAGACCTTCCAACGCCTCATTCAGCTTACATAACAATATTTCACTCGACGCCTTTTGACCGAACGGGAGTCTTGCCTATTTGAATCTTCCAAAGGGAGTTATCATCGAGGTGTACTCACTGCTCTGCTCGTCAAGCTGGACATGCCAGAAAACTTCCTTTACATCAGCTTTGCTGAAAACCCTTGCATTTGCCAGTTTAGGTAAACGTTGTCAAGGGTAGGGAGTTTGTAATGTTCCCGAAGCAGGGCCATGTTTAGAATCTGTGGATCCATGCAGATTCGTAGTTTTCCATTAGCCTTGTGTGCCACAGCCATTTGACTCACCCACTGAGTCGGTTTGTTATTTGTACAAGAATAACACTGTCACAAAGACGAGTTATTTCTTCCCTGACTTTTTGCTGTAATGCAAACGGTAGTTTTCTACAGGGAAGAGCGTTTGGCTTCACATCTATGTTGAGGGTAAGAGTTGCCTCCCCTAGATCACCAAGTTGGTCTTCATCAGAGCTGTATACCTCCCCGATGAATTTATCCATATTCAATGTTATTAGTTCGAGGTCTTGAATTGCTTTCAAACAGATGTTTGAGTTTGTTTGAAACAACCACAAACTTCACTGTGTGTTCTATACCAGACTTAGGATTTCTGACTAACAGGTCAACTTCACCTTTTGGCTTTATCATAGTATCATTGAATATGCGCAGGGTTGTATTTGTACATCGAACTTGGCTTTTACGTACAAACTTCTTGTTGATGACATTCACGTCTGCTCCAATGTCAAGTTGAGATTGAACGTCACAGACATTCACATTTATGTGCGCAGTTAACATGTTCCTGTTAGACTTGATAGAGTTGAGCATATTCAACCATGCTTCATCATAGGAATCATCAGTGTTGTCGCTAACTTCTGCACTGACAGAGCTAACATTCTTGTTTTTGCAACACTTTGCAAAATGGTTGGGGGTGGGCACTATTCTTTCTTCATAGGATGAATGTTTGTACAGAATTTGTAATTTTTCCCATTTACCTTCCTTTCATATGATTTAGTTTTAGGTGGCTCAGGTTTTTATTGGATTTTGTTCAGTTTACCGCTTTATTTGGTTGTTTCAAGACACTTACTTGCTTATTTGCCTGTTCATACAACTGTCAAATTTTAATAGCTTTCATCCAATCAACGTTGTCATGTCGCAAGAGAAGTCGTTGAACTTTTACAGACACGCTGAACACTATCCTGTCACGGGTCATTCGTTCGTCTTGATCACCCTCGTCACTATATGTCTGAAATAATGCCGATGTGACGTTAAATTTTAACTCACACACTCTTGATCACCAGAGTTACACTGTGCAGCCATAGATCAAAGTTCAGTGATGAATTGATCAAAAGGTGCAAAATATGTAGTTTTCAGTAACTTGTAGGACTCTACCACTTTTCTTGACAAGGGTAAAAATAGTCCGTAATCATTGCAAACACATCCTGGGGATCATTCTTATCTCTTTCACCCAATTCAACATGTTCATAAGCTTTCATGAGAGCCTCGCCTCCAAGATTGAACTTCAGGTGTAGTTTTAACACAGCCAGATGTTATCATATAGAAGTCAGTATGATGTTTCCAGATCCTAAAATTCTCAGGGAGATTACCAGTATGCAGGTTCAGTTCAGGAGGGAGTCTGAGATTGGTATTGATAACCAGTGGTAGAGGAGGAGCTTGTGCCATATTTGGAGAATTTACGGTAGGAGGTTGTGCAACAGGAATGTCTTCAGCATCTGACATATCAGTTATGCAGTGAGAGCATGTCAGCTCAGTCAGCAGACATAGTTTACAGGCTACAGTTCACTCCAAATAGAGAAGCACATGTCCTCTAAACGCGATCCAGTTCGAGTTCATCAGTTGCATATACTAGAACAACTAGCACAGCTTCTCACATATACAGAGAGAGAATAGCTTCTTACCGCTGCCACCATAATGATAGCTTAAAAATTTACAGTTAAAATAGCTTATTGAGGCCACAAAGACGATAGAGACAACTAACAGAGACGTGGTTGGTAGCCTTTACTGTATTTAACTGCAACAACAGAGATACATGAAAAACTTGAATTCACAAGAGCACATGTGAAAGTATGAGACAGAAACACATTCTGGTAATACAGTTAAACCAATATTATCAACAGTATGGGCGTCAAAAGCAAGACGTAATCTATAGACGTACTATCCTCAGTGAGCTGAAGAAAAGGGACCAGGACTTCCCCTTGGACGACCATGACGCTATCCTCGATGACGTCTTGAGGTTCTTGGTGTGGTCCTTTCTCGTGGTCATCGTGGCAACTTGGCTGTGGCGTCAGTATTACAAGCATGCCGGGGATCCCTGCAGCAAACTGCCTCTCCCCCCAGGGTCTATGGGCTTTCCTTTGGTGGGCGAAACACTGTCCTTGATAACTAAAGTAAGTCATGCTAAGAAAGCATTAAATATTTTCATGTGTGGATTGGTTTAAGATTTAATCAAGGCCAAATAGATTTTTGTGTCTTGTACGACAGTCAATTTAACAAGTTTCCTCTCATTGCCGTTTCAAGTAGTAAAATGATCTCAATTACCAATCTTCAGGATACACAGATCAAATTATTTGTAAACAAACACAGTAATCACCCAGATTACGTGGTGTCCGAACTAACAAGGACAATTGTCTCTACTTTAGGGTTCTGACTACTACCTGTCTCGGAGGGAACAGTACGGCCACGTATACAAAACTCACCTACTGGGACAACCTACCATCAGAATCATCGGCGCTGACAATGTACGCCATATGTTGATGGGGGAACACACTACCGTTGAGAGCAGCTATCCAAAATCACTCAAGCGTCTACTGGGGCCTGGTGGACTTCTGAGTGCAACTCCTGAAAGTCACAGGATCAGGAAGAAGCTACTCCTCAAGGCTTTAGCTCCTGCAGCTTTACATGGGCATGTTCAAAGCATTCAAAAACTTGTCAGAAGGCATATTTTGGACTGGTGCAACAAGGGAGAACAACTTGGTACAGATATTTGCAAAAGGTTGGCGATGTCAGTTGCTGCCAACATCCTTATTGGATTTGATGTCGATGATCAGAAACTACAGTCCATTATCAACTCTTTCAAGACTTTCACCGGCAACCTGTTCTCATTGCCATGGGAACTACCTGGCTCAGGACTGTCCAAGGTTGTATCTATTTATAAGTAAAACAGGCGTAAGACTATATTTTTACAAAAAGCAATTTATTATATGCATAGGTTACCACAATAAGGCAGTGAAGCTCTGTATAGACGTTTTCCTGACCTTCGGGGAAGTTCCATATTTAACACAAGCATTAACGCTTTTGTTACATTCAAACTCAATGCTTTTCAATCATTTTAGGGTCTAAAAGCACGTAAACAGCTCATAAAAGAAATTAAGAAAAGACTTCAGACAGAGACGCCACACTGGTCCCTGGTTGATGAACTGAAGACTCTCGATGAAACGACCGCTTCACTCACAGCAGACGAAATGGCAGATGCCATCTTGGAATTATGGTTTGCAGGAAACGACACCAGTTCCAGCACGTCAAATTCAACACTACTGGCTTTAGGTAAAGATGATGGTGTCCGAAAACGAATCGAAGAAGAACTGGCCGAAAACGGACTGTTGAATTCTGAAGATGAGCTGACGTTTGACAGTTTAAAGAAGCTGACCTACGTAGATCACGTGGTGAAGGAGGTGCTCAGAGTGTATCCGCCTGTTGGTGGTGGCTTCAGGAGGGTCAAGAAAACGATGGAGATTGAGGTAAATGGAAAAGATTAAGACAGCGTCACTTTCACTTGTTTTTGATAAAATCTAGTTCTGCTCATTATATACATCTAATCCTAAGGAGTTGTGGACAAATTGAAGTTTATTGAGTGCATAGGCCTGGTCGAGAATTTAGGCCGTTTAATTATTGATTCCTAACTGTTCTGAGGTGTATGTCAGTTTAATGCTGGAATACCTGACGAATGTCTTTGACGATAAAGACTTTGTTGAAACAGACAAGGAATGTATAGTCTTACAAGTCATTAACATCAAGACGATAATTGAGATCTCTTGAACTTCAGCTAAGATTTCTGGTCCGAAATAGCCAGTTCATGCTGGTTGCAAAGGCAAACTCACTCATACACTCTTGATTTCCATCCACAGGGCTTCCAGATTCCAGAGGGATGGTCTGTGATCTACAGTATTCGGGACACGCATCAAACCTCCAAACTCTTTGAAGACAGAGAGGAATTCCAACCTGAACGCTGGGATGAAATGGACAAAAAGACACGTTTGAGTGGTAAACGGTTTCACTACATTCCTTTTGGAGCAGGTGCCCGAGCATGTCCTGGTGAAAATTTTGCCAGGATGTTTGTGAAAATCTTCATTGTGGAACTGATAAAGACATGCAAATGGGAACTAAAAAACAAAAACCCTAAGATTTCCTACTTTCCAGTGACAAAGCCTTCCGATGATCTCCCTGTGACCTTTCACCTTCGTGAGGACAAAACAAAAAGTGTAGACTTCCTTGAATCACGTGATATATTCCCACATAATACATATAGGAGACTGATCCCAAGATTTCAGCTCTGAACTAGATTGGTCTGTCCACTTGTTAATCTTGGTAAGTGCCATCAATCACTGACACAATATATTTAGTCATGATTGTGATTCTGCATTTACCTATTGATTTGTGCTATAACATCCAGTGCTTGCAGTTATGGTACTAAAATCTTTATCTGGAAATTCCGATCATTGAATGGTGCTCTATACTAATTATTTAGTGAGCAAGCAAGAATCGTTAAGAATATGTCAGTTAGATCATAGCTTCTCAGATTTCTAAGGAATAACAGTGATGCAAAGGCATTTGTCATTTTGACCTGTAGTGAGTTAGGGAGTGAGTTTGGTTTTATCCCCAGGTAGCAATATTCGAGCCGTATCAAAGCAGGAACCATGTTAGGAATCAAAACCAGTCCTTCGGGGTCCCAAGTGAACGCTCTAACCACTAAGCTAATCCAAATCCCATTTTGGCCAATTACAGAGAGCTACCCATATTGGCATGCGTGACTAAACTCCTTTATGCATAATCTTTACATTTACCTGTATGCTTCTCTCTTGCAGGTATTAACAAGAGAAAAGTCTTTTATTGGAGATATTATCACACAAGTTAATGCCTCTAGGCTTATCTGCTAAGTTCCAGTTTAAAAGAAATCAGATATTGAAAAAGCTATTTCATTATCATTTAAGTTTCTAGTTGTACAAATTCTGATCTGTTAATACCCTTAAGAGTTGAAGATATAATGCTTACCAACTGGTCAGCTTTCGTTTCGCTTCAATGATTAAGGGGAGATCACTTCCAACGTACCACCATCTTGAGATTACAAAAAGAAATGAAAACACAGCTACCCAATCTACAAAGTTCCATTTTTCAAAGAAATCAGATATTGATGTGTTTGGCCAAGAGAGATACTTCAATTAATATTTTCTCGCTCTAGTTTCAATTTGTTCAAATTCTTATCTGTGGATACCCTTACACATCGGATAAAAATGCCAACCCCTTGGTCAACTTTCGTTTCTCGTTGATTAAGGAGAGAGCACTTCCAACGTACCACTCTCTTGAGATCATTGAGAAATGTTACACTACAACCAATATATCAGGAGCTAGCAAGAGAACATGTCTTTAAATGGGGAATGATGTGCTTTCCAGCTTTAAGGTGAGTGATAAGTGACCAATCTACTATCTTTCAAAATTCTGCCTATTATTCATGATATGTATTCTAAGACAACAGTTGCTAAAATTGCAAATATTAACATCTTTATTAAAGGAGCTCTTTTCCCTATAAAAAAGTTCGGTCAAAATTAAAAAATCTTGCTCCCACTCTTAACTTTAAAATGTTTGATTCTCAAATACACCTGTTGTATTCATCCGAGGTATGGGGTTGGCATAAATGGGAGGCATAAAAACAGTTTCTTGTAAATATTGTAAATATGTTCAAGGTGTTTACAAATCTTCTACTACTGCAGCTGTTTCAAGTGCGTGTGGTCGTTTTAATAAATATTGTTATTCACTCACAAGACGCATTGGTGTAAACTTTTAAGTATGCCGGATACTAGGTATCCAAATGACATTTTATGAAATGTTGAGATTGGACGAGCAAGGCAGAATTACATGGGTCTCAAATACCGAAAAAGTACTTTGTTCATATGGTTTTAATTATGTGTGAAATGTGTCAGTATTTTAGAATTTCAACAAAGCGTTCTAGGCTATTTAGTTCAATCTCTTTTTTCAAAGCTGAATGAGCATTCATATTTAGATTTTTACTCCACTATGAAGTCATATTTACTTCGTATACACCAAAGAGATCAAAGATGATATTTAACATCATTAAAATTAATGAATTACAAATTATGAATAATATAGCGAGGAGGAAAGGTGAACCTAGGAACCTTAGGTTTTGTCCTATCAGTAAAAATATTATAGCAGATGTGTTACATTCTTTGTTCGTATGCCCACTTTTTGATATTTAAAGACACACATATTTTCCCTACACCAACTTAAAAAAATAATATTTTCTCAGAACTTTACTACAAACTAACATTAACACATTGTCATTATGTGTTAAATACATTAAAGATGCCCTATCTTTACGTTCTTCATATATATTCTAATTTGTACTTTAAATGCACTGTGCACCTCTTGATATTGTACCACCACTTTGTATATAATACATGTATCTATATTGTACTTGGGCCTTGATACTGAAATAAACTTAACCTATATATTGCCAAGTGTCAGGTCAGAAAATTGTACTGTTTCAAGCTTGTTGGTGATTACCTAAGTGGCATTGATTTGAACAGTATTCATCTCACAGCGTTCTTTACATGGTGACAGTGATCACTTTAACTTGGTCAATATGCCAGTCATCATATGTCTAGTGGTACCAGCATCATCAAGTTGGCCTGATGTTACTCTTAAGATTGATGTAAACAGTTTTATCACTTTGATCCTGGGCAGATGATAGTTAAATAACACCATGAACATACCAACTGCTCTGTTAACTGGAAAAGAGATTTTATACATTTTCGATTTTTGTTCAAACACTTTACAGGTAATATTTCAACAATATCAAGACGTTATTCAAGTGGTATTTGTAGATACACTGTTTATATGTATAATAGAAGATGTATACCATGTATATGCCATATACAGTAATCTACGTTTATAACGAACAAGCTTATAACGAACTGACGGATATAACGAACTTATTTATTTGCCCCGACCATTTGCTGTACATGCTTATAACACACTACGGATATAACGAACTAAAATTAGTGGCCCCTTTGAGTTCGTTATAATCGTAATTTACTGTATATACAATTTCATATGCAGTAAACTACGGTTATAACGAACACGCTTATAACAAACCGACAGATATAACGAACTTACTTTTTTGGTCCCGACTATTTGCTGTATTAATGCTGTATATATGATTATAACGAACTACGGTTATAACGAACTAAAATTAGTAGTCCCTTTGAGTTCGTTATAACCGTACTTTACTGTACATGTACTTGATCTTGTTGATTATGCATGAAGTTTTAACATGGTTTACATGTTACCCCAGTAACATGCCTGACAGAATGTGTATATATATGAAAAAGTTACTTCTACTCAGAATGTCATGTGATAGCCTGATTGAAATAAAAGTTTGAGATTATTATCATTTAGTTGTTATTTTAATATATATTCAGTTAATGTATGTGGCTTGCATAGGCAATTTTTTTTTTCATGGTCATTATACCAACAAGCAAAGTGTGTTTAAGGGGCAGTTCAAACGTTGAGTGTCGGATGAACATCTCTTTGAAAATGTCATCATTTAAACAAGTTAAACTGGTGCGTTTGTGGGTGTTGGTGTGGGACGTTGAGGAGTTTGAATGTGGTGTTTAGGGTGTGTGTGTATGTGTGTGTGTGTGTGTGTGTGTGTGTGTGTGTGTGTGTGTGTGTGTGTGTGTGTGTGTGTGTGTGTGTGTGGTGGGGGGACGGTGTGTGTCTGCTTCCCAAAATGCTTTCATTCTGGTATGTTGTACTTATGCAGAAACTGAAAACCAAATTTAATTTTTAGCCTTGGCTTGGTTGATGCTTGTCACTGTACACGTCCAGCTACCGAAGAGTACTTTCCAAATACGGGCTAAAATACATACATACATACATACATACATACATACATACATACATACATACATACATACATACATACATACATACATACATACATACATACATACATACATACATACATACATACATACATACATACATACATGTGTTTCTTATTTTTTGCGTGCTTAACTGATGCCAGTATAAAAAACAATCATATTTAAAAGTATGTGGTATTCTTTAACAATTTGAGCGAGTGAGCGAGATGAGTTGTGTTTGACGCCACTTTAAACAGTATCCCAGTCATATCACGGCGTGTGATCTTGATATGCAAGGAAAGCCTGAAGTGATGTAGGTCTCAAAAGTTTACCACGTTGGTGAAACCCACGGCATGGGTATGGTGGTGACAAAGCGAGAAACATAATCTGGGCGAACAGGGATTCGAACCCACAATAATAGGATTCTGGCGTGTCCAAGGGACACAATCCTGCACAGCAAATTGCGGAGCCTTGGGCTACTGGGCCACCAGCGCCATCCCTACAATTTGAACATGTCCCATACATTCTAAGGTTAGACTGACTATGTTTTATGTTCCGGTGAGTTACTATCAGCTGCAGTGTGATGAACTCTTTGTGGGTCTTATCACACCAATGGATTTAGCAACAGCTTAACATGCAATCGATTTGAACGCTGCTTGAGAATCTTAAACATGAATTGACTGTTTACAATGGTGACTTTTTTTCTCCATATTGAAAATTCTGAAACATACTTTATGTCATTTTATATTGATATTTGTGATGGTTTTCTAACCTGTCTACACCTCGATCAGTGGTGGTATAAATCTTATATATTCACTCGCTGGCGCCAAGCCTCCTTACAAGCCATGGAAAGACCATTTTCGAAGCATTTTATATGCCGCTTCTGTTGATTTGGTACCTCATATAGTCAACACCGGTTCGATTTTCAAAGTGTAATAATGAACCAAATTCTTACATAACCAGCCATTGTATAGCCATATCCAATAACTAGTACTTGTCTGATGAAACAGAAATCACGAGACAAGTTAGATTTATTTAAAAAATCTCAGTTCCACAATGTATGTTTAAAGTTGTAATATATATCCACATCCCGTCCTTGACGATCGCTTTTGAATTCAAAATGGATTCCTCCTGACTTATGCAAAGTACGTTGCTAATGGCTTTCAAAGTGTTGAGTCTGGTTTCAGAAACGGTTCCCGTTCTTGGTGAGAATGCAGGAAGATTCCCTGTTATTCGAGTTTGCCGATAAAGTGAGTTATCGCCCTTTGACTATCAAAACGTGATGTTAAGTTTGACTGAAGTTTGCGTTGGTCGATCGCGGGGATTCGGGTCATGTAAAACATGCATATTGCCGATTCGATAAAGCGCATGACTGGCGTCTACAAATCTTCGTTGTTTGTTTGAGTTTGATTGATTTGTTTGATTCCCCACAAGGACCATTTTGTACTGAAATTACGTTTTACAGGAAGATCATCTTCGCAACACATTTAAGACTTTATTTTTGAGGCACAAGTGCTTTAAACACCGAGTGAGGGAGAGGATGAATGAATTGGTTTAGCGTCATTTTGGGAAGTATTTCAATTATAGCACACTGGGTCATCATATTTTTAAAGATATCTCCAGGAAGGCGTTGACCGCGTTGATGAAATCGACGGATATAGTGCTAACAAAAAAAGGATCCCAATCGGATTCCATCCTGGATTCTAACCCATCACAAGCAGATCCTAACACGAGTAAGGGAAGGAACTCCGGCTATTAACCGCGCTAGGCCTCACGTGTCCAACACCGAAGTAATGCATGTTTCAATCAGTGAGAGGATCATGTATCTTGATAGGTCGTGAAACTTATCAGCTGTTTTCTCTTACTAAAACCCAAATCACACACTCACTCACTCCAATCGGAGCAACACGGAACCTTTAAACCTATGTCATGTTCAGGCCCAGTGATATACCGAGATGGTTTTTCAGCTTGATAAAAACATGTTTGTTCTTCACTAGCCAAGTTAAGGAAAAAAGCAGAAACAACAGAAAGAACATTTGATTAATTCATTGCCCTCACATTTGGCATTTAAAATGAACCTGATAATCGATATCGTACTTCAAGTGTTTCCACACTGAGATAGCTCCAAGCTCGCGATGTTGTTAGTTTTAAGATTTTATGAATTTCTAACTGAATTGGATACATTCCATAACTACCAAAACTAGCTCTTCCATTAAAATTTTGCAACGACCTTGATGGGACTCGAACCCATAATCTTCGGCTCCGGAGGCCGACGCCTTATCCATTAGGCCACAAGGCCACCGATGAGTATTCGCTATTTTAAATCTTAAAAAGACTTTACGTAAAATCACCATTTAACTCAAAAAGGGTTATATTCCACTCGATTGAGTTACGATTTTACGCCGCTCCACTAATGTTTCAGATATATAACGACCACGCATTGAAGAACAACCTTTCAGTCATGCAATATTTGAGATATTTAGCGACCACGCAACGCGGCACAAGCCTTCTTTCATGTAATGTTGAAGACAGTCGAAACAATTTGTCACTCATACAAACTTGTAGCGCTGCTGATGTATACACATAGACAAGTCTTCTTTCGTGTAATGATGTAGACAGACGAAACAATTTCTCACTCACACAAATTTGTAGCCCTGCTGATGTATACACATAGACAAGCCTTCTTTCGTGTAATGTTGAAGACAGACAAAATAATTTGTCAGTCACACAAACTTGTAGCGCTGCTGATGTACACACATAGACAAGCCTTCTTTCGTGTAATGTTGAAGACAGACAAAACAATTTGTCAGTCACACAAACTTGTAGCGCTGCTGATGTACACACATAGACAAGTCTTCTTTCGTGTAATGTTGAAGACAGACAAAACAATTTGTCACTCACACAAACTTGTAGCGCTGCTGATGTACACACATAGACAAGTCTTCTTTCGTGTAATGTTGAAGACAGACAAAACAATTTGTCACTCACACAAACTTGTAGCGCTGCTGATGTACACACATAGACAAGTCTTCTTTCGTGTAATGTTGAAGACAGACAAAACAATTTTTCACTCACACAAACTTGTAGCGCTGCTGATGTACACACATAGACAAGCCTTCTTTCGTGTAATGTTGAAGACAGACAAAACAATTTGTCAGTCACACAAACTTGTAGCGCTGCTGATGTACACACATAGACAAGTCTTCTTTCGTGTAATGTTGAAGACAGACAAAACAATTTGTCAGTCACACAAACTTGTAGCGCTGCTGATGTACACACATAGACAAGCCTTCTTTCGTGTAATGTTGAAGACAGACAAAACAATTTGTCACTCACACAAACTTGTAGCGCTGCTGATGTACACACATAGACAAGCCTTCTTTCGTGTAATGTTGAAGACAGACAAAACAATTTGTCACTCACACAAACTTGTAGCGCTGCTGATGTACACACATAGACAAGCCTTCTTTCGTGTAATGTTGAAGACAGACAAAACAATTTGTCAGTCACACAAACTTGTAGCGCTGCTGATGTACACACATAGACAAGCCTTCTTTCGTGTAATGTTGAAGACAGACAAAACAATTTGTCACTCACACAAACTTGTAGCGCTGCTGATGTACACACATAGACAAGTCTTCTTTCGTGTAATGTTGAAGACAGACAAAACAATTTGTCAGTCACACAAACTTGTAGCGCTGCTGATGTACACACATAGACAAGTCTTCTTTCGTGTAATGTTGAAGACAGACAAAACAATTTGTCACTCACACAAACTTGTAGCGCTGCTGATGTACACACATAGACAAGCCTTCTTTCGTGTAATGTTGAAGACAGACAAAACAATTTGTCAGTCACACAAACTTGTAGCGCTGCTGATGTACACACATAGACAAGCCTTCTTTCGTGTAAT